GGTCACGTGACCTTTTAGGAAAATTGTGACGTCACTTCTGGTCACGTGACCTTTTAGGAAAAATGTGACGTCACTTCCGGTCACGTGATTTCTTAGAAAATGTGACGTCACTTCCGGTCACGTGATTTCTCAGAAAATGTAACATCACAGAGTTATAAATGTTGCACGACCGGAAGTGACTTCACGTTTATCACAAGACGAACTGTGAAGAAAATGGAAGAATGAGGATGCAGGAAACACGAGCAAAACCTGGAGGGTAAGGCGGCAAAAGCAGAAAAATGGCGGAAACCAAAGAATTACAGGAGGAGAGGGAGCCACATGGGAAAAATAGGGGAGGGATCAGATTGGAAGATGGAGGAAAAATGCAAGTAAAAGGGAAAAAGGAAATGGATAAAAATATGAAGACAATGTGGACCAGTGGAGGAATTGTGGATAACTGAGGAGGGGAAGGAAAAATGGGTTCAACTCCTCGAGACTTACCTTGATTGTCACCCATTGTCCATCAATCCTCAAATTCTATTTTCGCAGTGACAAGGGGATCTTCCTTATATCCTCATTATGTCGTTCTCTCAACTATAAAATGATCGTTTACTCAGCTGAGAATCCTGTTAATCTCCAGTGGATTGACGAAAGTCACCTGTCACCAGTTTCCGAAAGCGATAAATCCTCGAAAAAGCCATTTGCCGAGTGAGGAGGAGGGTTAGGCAAAACTCAATGAAATATATGTCACACCGTTAAAGACGATCGTTTCATTTTTTTTCCCACATATTTCCAGGGCCCACCCGACTAGCCTCATCGATTTCAATCCCATCCCTTTCATCCCTTTCATCCCTTATGCCCCATCCCCATTTTTTTATCCGCTCAAATGTACCTCTCACCAAACTCACCATAAAAATCATACTTTGAATTTTCTCCGACTATTTGAAATCCGTCCAATTCGTTCGGGGGATTTATATATTTCTCTGCTTTCAGATTTACCCGAGAAATTGTTTGGAATTTTCGGGATTTCTGTGCTAGTCAACATGGCTGCAAATTTATGGTGAGTTAACGAAAACAATGACCAATAGAAAACTCGGGGATTTTCGTTGCTGTTTTTAATGAGATTCAACAGACAAGTGCTTCTCCCCTGCTGTTATATCCCTGGGTATTAATATAATCAGACTAACAGATTATTATTCCCACCGATAATTCAATTTAATATGAGCTCTCCTATCCCGAATTATTGCAATGACCAAGTGGTGGAACACGAAAATAAAAATTTTGCAAGTTGTCTCTCAACTTCCTCGACTCAGGGAAAAATAAATAAATGTTTTTAAAAATTGAGCTTTTATTCACTCAATAAATCATTTTCTTACAAATCACCAATTAATATTTAAATAAACATTAATACACCTTAAATAATTTATCTATTAATTTATCATTTAATCCCTCACTCCCCATCCTCAGTCAGTGGACTTCAACTCTTTCTCAAAAAATTACATTTGATTATTACATTTTCCCTTTCGAGAATGAAAATCTTATCGTATCACTTTCCACGAGTAAAACATTTTTTTTCTCACCGTTGAAAGTTAGAATTTAGGCGTTTTGGAGAGGTTCCAAGACAGTAGGAGACGAACTAATGTGTCAAGGAAGGTATCTTGGCAATCGCGTGTGTAAAACCAACGAGAGAAAAAAAAAAGTAAAATAAAAACAGACGAAAAAAAAAAAAATGGATGAGTGTCTCGTAGCCAAGTGCACGTGATACAATTTTTCCAAAGTTTTCCGTCTCTACAACCGTTAAATTTCCATGGCATTTTCCACCCCTCAACTCTCATTTTCACGCCCTGTATCTCTACTGGTAGACGTAAATTTTCATTTTATCTAGCTTAACGTATCTCCTCAGCAATATTTTCGAGGGAGAACGGCAATATAGGAGAATGGGTTTTCGTACTTTTCGAGTGTGGGTTAGCTCATTTCCAACTTCAACCCTCTTAATTGGATCTTCACTTAAAATGGAGTACTTGAATGCCTCGTTAGTTATACCTAATGATAACAAGTTGATGGAAAACTTTGGGGCTTTGTGATTAAACATTTTCCTTTTTTTTCACTTCTTTTTTTTTTTCTCATTTTAGTCTATTGTTGAGTTTAATCTTGTTCATTTGGAGTGAACATTTCGTATCTTATTAAGAGGCATCTGGAGATGTCTCACTTTACAACAACTTCGTGTCCCAGTCGAGGGTTCAAAGAGCTCATTTCACTTCATCCTGTTTAATTTATCTCAGAGCTACAAGTTGTTTGGAAATTCGGAACAAATTCGTCGCCCCAAGTCCCAGAATTCTCTGAATCAAATTATTTTTTTTCTTCAGATAATTCCTGGGATTTTAGACGACAAAAAAAAGGAAAAAAAAGGAAAAAAAGAAGAAAAAAAGAAAAAAAAAGAAAAGAAATTATTTCAATAAAAATTATGAAATAAATTCTGTTCTTTCCGGGTGCAGCGAAACCGAGACATCAACGACGGGATCGGTTGGTACTTTCTCCCCAATTGAAAATACCATGAATAATGAAAGGGAAAAAAAATCATCCACCTCACTGGGATTTTCCCGTATCGACACGATACCAAACCAATCCCGACAATTTCCGTGAAAGCGCACCCCAGAGATTCATTTGATATATGACGTTGCAATAAAGGGAGAGAAGACAAAGATAACAGCAATGACACTGTGAATTTACCTTCTCACTCCAGGTCGTTAGCCCTATCGATCCCAGTCAGTATCAGTCTCGGTTTTTCCATTCGGTCTTTACCAAAGATCTTTTGCCCTCCAGGAGTAGAAAAAAAAAAAAGAGAAAAGAAAAAAAAAATGAGGGAAATTGTGTGTGACCCAGTTCCTCCCCGTTACAACTTCTTGAACCCTCGGTTATACTTTCATCCCAGGATACACATTCACCGGAGTGAATGCATTCTTTGCTCTAATGTGGAATGCATTTGAGGGTCTTTTTTTTTTTCGAGTCATCAAGATCATTCTGCCCTCCGTGGAATTCCAAAGAATACATTCACATGGAAACAAAAAATTCATATTTTTTGAGAAGAAAAAAAAAACAGTTGAAATCCACTGATTCACATTAATTTTCCTTAATTATAATTATCACTAATTTTTTAATTAATCTTGATGATTTAAAAATGGAAAATTAAATTACCGTAAGATGACACTTCCGGTCACGTGATTATTTTAAAATGGAGAATAACGAAAAATGAAATGATCCCATTGAAACTTCACGATGAACCGCCAGCAGTTGAATTTCCCTGAAAAATAAAAGTTTCTTCATTAGCGAAAACTAAATGAGCCATTAAACTAATGAATCCATTATTCCTCGCTCTCTTTTTTTTTTCAGACAATTCCAGCAATCAGAGTAACTCACAAGTGCTCAGTAATTTTCATCTCCACGAATTGAGACGTTGGCTCGAAGTGAATTGAGGAAGTTGAAGAGAATAAATAACTGGATTACTCACCGAAGCATTTTGATAATTCATCAGTGAAGCCTCAAAGTGGCTAAAAGCGTAAGTCCACTGCGTAGCTGCCACCAGGAGTTGGTCTCCAATTTGGAGTCACAGGTGGAGGCTGAGGATAAAATTGGGCCGAGGCGTATGCCTTACCTCGGGCCTGACATGACAACCCGGCTATCCGCCATGTTTTACACGGTAGAGGTCGGGGACACCAAGTTCACCATCCTCAAGCGATACCAGAATCTCAAACCCATTGGATCCGGTGCCCAGGGAATTGTCTGGTAATCCCTGAAATAAATTCACCATTAATTATTCATTTATCTCGATACCTATCGATCCAGCAAAAAAATGTTGAATAACTTTTTTCTAGCTGATTATATTCCCGAGAAAAAATAACTCTTCATTTTTTCTCGGGAAATTGATACTTCTCGAGATATATCGGTATTTAATGGAATAAACTGACGTACTTGTATCTCCTCAAGAGCCACGTGATAATGATGTTTATTGCTTCGTCTGTTTTGTTTATTAGCGCTGCGTATGACACTGTTACTGCACAAAATGTCGCCATCAAGAAGCTCTCCAGGCCATTTCAAAATGTTACGCACGCCAAGAGGGCGTACAGGGAATTCAAACTCATGAAACTTGTGAATCATAAAAATGTGAGTTTGTGGGAAATTTTTATGCCACCATATCTCCAGGCAAATCCTCCACGTAGGCATTCAATAATTCAACTGATACTTCCCTCAGCCCCTGAAAATTAATGATAAAGAGAAAAAAAAAAACAATTACTTTCTCAACAACTATTTATCCTCCGGAACAAACTTATTATATAGTAATCACCTCTTGAGAGGAGAAGAAAAAATAAATCCCTCGAAATATTTCTGATTGGCAGATAATCGGTCTCTTGAATGCATTCACCCCTCAACGATCTCTCGACGAATTTCAAGACGTCTATCTGGTGATGGAGCTGATGGACGCAAATTTGTGCCAAGTCATTCAAATGGATCTCGACCACGAGCGCATGTCCTATCTGCTGTATCAGATGCTGTGTGGAATAAAGCATCTCCATTCAGCTGGAATAATTCACAGGGTTGGTATTAATTAAATTTCAATTCAATCCCTCAATCCCCCATCGATCTGAAATTATCCAAAATTATCCACTGGATATTATTATCATTCACTTGATTAAATAAATAAAATTATAAATTATAAATTAATTCAATAGGACTTGAAGCCAAGCAATATCGTCGTCAAGTCAGACTGCACTCTCAAAATTCTGGATTTTGGTCTTGCAAGGACTGCTGGTACGACATTTATGATGACACCTTACGTTGTCACACGATATTACAGAGCACCAGAGGTCATTCTCGGTATGGGATACAAAGAGAACGTTGACATTTGGTCTGTTGGTTGTATTATGGGTGAGATGATCAGAGGTGGTGTACTATTCCCTGGGACTGATCATATTGATCAGTGGAATAAAATTATTGGTAAGAATAATAATAATAATCAATAGGTCAATTGAAATTTTTTTTTAAAACCCCTCCAATCCCGAAAAATAACAATTTCACAGAAAAATTGTGAATATCTTTTTTCAAGCTAATGAAATTTACAACAAAATAGTTCTTTTCATGATTTATCTTAAAATCAATAGCTTTTGACGAAATCAATGATTTAATGACTCAATTGAAATTTCAATTTTCGGGAATTGAGGTGTAGATAATTATTTTTAAATCGTCAAATGTCATTGGGCAATTCAATGATTGAGAAACGGAGAGGGAGGAGATGGGGAATATTTTTTGATAATAAATAATAATAATTTGTGGCATAAACAGAGCAACTTGGAACACCAGCGCAAGAATTCATGCAACGATTGCAGCCAACCGTACGAAATTACGTGGAGAACAGGCCACGATACATGGGTTATCCCTTCGAGAGGCTATTCCCGGATATTCTATTTCCCACAGACTCCTCGGAGCACAATAGACTGAAAGGTAATGAACAACTTGTGACTTGTCACATTATTTTTACTCACATTGTCGTTTTCTCCAGCGAGTCAAGCGAGGGATTTACTGTCGCGCATGCTGGTGATCGATCCTGAGCGACGTATCTCGGTCGATGATGCCTTGTTGCACAATTATATCAATGTATGGTACGATGAAGGTGAAGTTAATGCTGTAAGTATATGGGTGATTCAATTTAAAATGGGGAATGGATTTTCCGGGTCTCTGGCAATGAGAAATTGCCTTCGATATGGGGTCATAAGCGAATCTGATTTTTCATTTTTTCATGGAAATTCAATTATTTTCATCTCTAATATATCCTGAATTTTATTAAAATCTCAATTACTCCAAATAATCAATTTATATTAAAAAAAAAATATCAATACTGAAAATTTATAAGAAGTGAATTTCGGTAATTGATGAATTTTTGAGGATTATCTGTAAATCTAGGAGAGATAGCGACATTTTTATTAGGACCTTTTTTATGGAGCCAAGTGAGAACTATAAAAAAGGTCATTACAAGAATTTTATTTTCTCTGGTGGATTCAGAGATATTCCTCGAAATCTTGGGAATTATTTTTTTTTCCGAATACGTACTTTGTGTTTTTTTTTCCGATGGTGTTGATTAATTATTCTGCGTTTTAAGCCTGCACCAGGTCCATACGATCACAGTGTGGACGAGCGAGAGCACACGGTGGATCAATGGAAGGAATTAATTTACCAAGAGGTAATGGAGTACGAGACAAGTCACAATCCATCAGCAACACCTCAGTCATCAGTTGATACTGTCGCTGGATCACGGTAGACACGCCGGATGTGTCAGACGTTACGTTTCCTGGAAGAAACGAAATATTGTTCCCAAATATTTCACTCTAATTACTAATTGAAATCTTATTCCGCCCGAATTTGTTTTTTTTTTGTTTTTTTTTCATATAATCTAGAGAGAAATCGAGACGTCGAGCAACAAAAAACGAAATATCTCTTTTACAATATTTATCTGGAGTTCGATTACCTTTTTGTAATAATTTGTTTTTCATATCAATTGCATGGCCGGTGGTTTTTCCTTATGCCTGGCAAACACGAGCACATCCTTCACATTTTTTTCTTCTCTCCATTTTTTTTTATCCATACTCATCTGGATTTTTATAGAGCTCTGGGAATAGTCCATTTGTCACCAATTTATTGTCACTGGATTTATTGTTGCTCGAATATTTCGGACAATCATGCTTCAACAAAAAAAAAATAATAATAATTAGAACTCTAGGGCTCTCGATGTAATGGCAGTCGACTGAAGTCAAAAATACAATTAATTAATTCGTTTGATTTATTAGAAACAAAATAAAAAAAAATTAATTTCGTCACCATCCCTCAACTCATGTGTTGCTCGACAAAACGGTTTGATAATTATCTATTTCCTTTCCACAAATAATTTATTGTGACTGCCCCCCCCCTCCCCCTCCCCCTACCCCCCTGAGTGTACAGTGCAGAGAGAACAAATCGATTTGGATAAAAGTGGAGAATTAATAAAATTATCGTTGTGAATTTTTTTAAATTAAATTGATCTAAGTTTTTTGGGGCAGAACAGTGGCCCATTGTACATTTTAGTCAGTCATGAATTCTTGATGAATAAATTCTATTTGTTATAGATTGAAAAATGTAGCTATGAGTGAAAAAAAAGAGAGAGAAAGAGAGAGAGAGAGAGATGAAAATTGAAGACGGTGTCGAAGTATTTAAAATTTGAATTGATAATTAAGATGACACGTCGAGGAGAATTTATTCGTGCGAATTGTAATTTGTAAAACCGTTGAATTTTTATTTTCCACTGAAATGAATAGTTATGTGAATATATTGCTACAGTCCGATCCAAATAATCAAGCTTTTGTAATACTAATTATAATAAAGTAATAATATGGCTAATTGAGTATATAAATATTAAATGAAATAATTATTAAAGTAATTGCATTGCACACGAGGTTTGAATATGTGTGTTTGTGTGATTGTAATTGATTGTGTATGTGTGAGGGAGAGAGTGATATTTGTCAGAGAGATTTTGAGAATTTTATGAGCTTCGAGTGAGTTAAAGTATTTGGGAATTTTATCATTTTTCTTTTTTTTTTCTCAACTTGTCTTTTTTCTTTTTTTTTCGTCCAAGTGACGTTTCACATTCGTGTGCTCCCTATATCCATTCAACGGACAGGGTATAAGATAAAAATCAAATTTCCGCGGTCCATCATCTCCAACGATAAAAAACCGCGGCAAACTGTCAAAAAAATGAACTGCAAATGTCAGTTTTTCGAAAATATCTCCGGAATTAAAGGAGATAGTGAAATTTTTATTGAGACCTTTTTTGTAGAGCTCACGAACATCTTCAGAAAGTGTTACCACAAAAATTCCGGTAACTCCCTTAATTTTTGAGATATCTTCAAAATTCTCATGGAAGTGTCAACTCGTCTTGCCATTTTGCATAATCAAAAAATATTCAATCAGAAAATTTGACTTTTCAAAACAAAAAAAAAAAGTGAAAAAAACATTCAAGACAATGGAACCCACCTCTCTTGAAATCCATTTCCATTTCGAGTTGACAACCGACCGAACACCTGTTACCAAACGACAAATTAATAAACAATAATAAAAAAATTACCAGAACACCCCAATTTGCTTATTAGTCCTAGAACTAGCCTAGAATCGTCAATTTTTTTACGTACCCTCGAAAGTTGAGCGTCAAGCGAGTGAAACAACTGTTTGATTAACGAAAAACAAAAAAATGAAAAAAAAAATGAAAAACCAAAAAAATACGAGAAAAGGGTAAAAAAAAAATCTGAGACTTCAGTGCCTCTTAATCTCAGAGGTAATGGGCTGCGTATTGTACAGCTTTTTTCTTCATTGTTCTCAACGGGGCATTAAAAAAAAAAGCCAAAAAGAGAGGGACGATAACTAGCGAGTCGCTGGCGCTGACTCGTGTTCGTTTTTTTCTACGTTTTCCAAAAAAAGAAAATACAAAAAAAAAATGAGAGAGAGAGAGAGAGAGAAATGAGAGGGCAAATACGAGACGTCAGTCTCATCTTTTCGTGCGTGTGAGAGAGAATATTCGTATGACGAATAAAAGGGCATGGGAATGAATGATAAAAGTGCTCAGAGGAGAGAAAAAAAAATTTTTTCCTGAGATGAATAAGAATTAATGAAAAATAAAAACCTGCGAATGAAGTAGATAGACACTTAGCCAATGTGTAATAGTTGCAACTAGAGCTAGTAGCCGATAAAACACTGAAAAATGAGGGATATAAAAAAATAAATAACAGCAACAAATAATAAAAATAATAAAAATAATGGATGAAATCATGTAGTCGATTTTAGCAGTGCAAGTAGATCAATTAGTTCGATAGTCGAGATGGAAAAAAAAATAAAAAAATTTCGCAGTGTAATCATAATTTATTATAAATATTATGGCAATTAACGTTTAATTAAACATATTATGTTAACTCTTCTGTAAATAAAGTACGATAATAATTATTATAATTAAGGGGAATGTGTAACGAGACATTGGGATGAGGTATGAGTGGAGGTGAAGTTTTCAATTGTCTGATGGGGGAAAAAAAATTAATAAAAACATGGAATGCAATAAAACCCGTGTGTGAATCGATTAAATTTGTCTTATTCTCATTGATACCTGTTTTTAAATATTTCTTTTTAATCGTCTGATTTCCGACGTTTAACGTCAGCCATTCATTGAACGCAACTGAATAAAACCTGAAATTAAAAATAATAATAATAAATGAATAACGAGGCAATAATTTATCGTCATTCAACAATAGTTTGTGTAAACTTGGCTATATTATACTGTATTTACATTATCTGCAAATAGCACAATAAATTTCAAGTCTTAATCATTAACAACGATATTAAACTCGAATATTATCTAGATGGATCGTCTCACATCGGTTGGTATCGAATAATCATGATCACCGAATATCCAGTGGTAGATTCGTGAGCAAACATCCTTTATCATTGAAAAAATAATGCGAAGAACAATACAATATTTCGTAATAAAAAAATTACAATGCATCTTGTTTTTTTCTTCTTCTTTTATCTCAGGTAAATCTGCAATTTGTACAAAATGAGAGAAAATAATAATAATAATAATAATAAAATAAAACGTAGAACATAGAAAAGGGGAGAAAAACATTTATCTTAAAAATAATTAAAAATTTTTGCAATTGGTGAGATTATCACGTTTGGAAAAATATCACCTACCTCAATGTTTATCCCTAAAAGTCGAACGTTGATTTATCTACATACAAACTCTATAAATGAACTTTACATTCTTCACCATTCATTCAAATATTCTCCCATGGCAATTACCATTCATTATCATTTCACTAATGTACATTGTGTTAATCATCGTCTGAGGATCGTTGGTAAACTGGGCCAAACTTGTTCATGTATTTACGTACAAAGTCTTTAGCTTTATGTTTCACATTTTCATTGCACTGCAACTCGTCGACGCTCTTGCAGTGCTTGAGCTCTTTAGCCATTACGAAATGAGTCAACTGAAAATAAGAAAAAAAAAAACAATACATTTCCATAATTCCAATTCAAGAGATAAATATGTAATTAATAAAAAATAGTAAATTCAATTGAATTACAAATTTTTCTCTTATCATTTAAAAATGTTAATAAATAAATTACCTTTCTCGCCAGGTACTTGAAATCCTCGGTATTCGTAATTCTCCCCTGCTTGCAGTCACCCTGTCTGTAAGGATTCAAGAATTTAACGATAACCGTTGCCATATTGACCCGAAAACTGTCTTTTATTTTTCTCTCAGCAGTGAGTTCGTTGGACTGAGCAATAGCCTGCAGTTTAATAGCAGTATGCCTAGCCTGGGACTTTGCTTTATTAGCCCTCCGATGTTTTCTCATTTTGTCAATGTGCTCCTTCATCTTTCCCCTCTCCTTCTGACGCCTAAGTTTGTCCTTGATATCCTTATACTTTTTATGATCCACACGATCTTCCTCTCTCCTAGGCTATTCATACAAAGAGAAGAAACCAATAATTTTAAAACAAGTCTTAAGAAAATATTCTCTCACTCCCCAAATCCTCGAAAAAAAAAAATAGAAATAAATTCTTACACTAATAATTCTCTCCTGGACCAGTCCATCCCTCCGTTTTTTTGCCTCAGGACCAGCTCCAGCAATTCTTGGATCCCTCGATTTAATTTTCTCAACAGGTGGTGTCTCACCCTCCTCCCAAGGCTCGTCCTCATCCTCCTCGTCGTCATCCTCACTGGTGCTGCTCTCCTCACTGCTCTCCTCACTCGATGAAGTGTCCGGTTGCACCCCAATGTGCGTCGGTGGTGGTGGCAACCACTGAGAAATTCTCTCCTTCACGTGATAATAATAATACCTTCCCCTCACGTCCTTCGCACATTTCCATCTAGGTGGTAAATCAAGGGGGGGAATTTCCGTTTGAACAGTCTCCACGTCCTCCTCAATAGTCTCCATTGGTGTGGCAGTGACAATACCTCCAGATCCACAATCAGTACCTTTATTATCAATATAAACACCAGATACATTTCCTGAAACTGTTGGTGTACCATTATGCACAGGTATGAGATTATTCTGAATGATGTGCCCCTCAAATTGTCCCTGAGCCTGAGGCATTCCCGGATAGGCAACACCAGGTGGTGGAAATCCAGATGGTATTCCAGGCCCATAAACTGGTGGAGGAATACCTGGGGATATATCTGGTTGCATTCCAGGTACATTACCATGAATACTCTGATTAATTCCCTGTCCAATACCACCAGGACTCTGTCCCATGTGAATTTGATTGTGCCTCATGTGCAGCTGATTGTGTCCAGTGATATCTTGACCCTCGTGAACTGGATATCCCTGCCACTGTCCCAAATTCGGATTAAAAAATAATGGATATCCAGTATTAGGATCAATAATAGGTGTAGCAATTGGATCTAAACCAAGTGCCACACACTTGGACTCATGATGCTGAAATGCCTCCTGCTGCTGCCTCCTGATTCTCTCCTCCTCCTCCTTAGCGACCTTCATAGCAAATAGCTGTCGTCTCTCGTACTTGGTCAGCCTAGGGACAGCAATCAAATTAGATCTCTCTTTATCCTTACTCCTGTGTGACTCTGGCTCAGGACTCTCCCTGCCCCTTCTCCGATCACTTCTCTGTCGTCTCTCATACCCTGACGATCGTCTCTCATATCCCGATGATCCCCTCCTACCCTCTTTCTCAGAATCCTCTTTATACCCGATATCCGCCTCTCTCTCGTGCTCCTTCATCTGTTCAATTCTCTCCTTCTTTGGTATCCTGAAGACTTCCTTCAACGACGACCACTTGTTCAACAGCTCAATAGCAAGATCAATTATTAATTTTGCATTGTCAGTCTCACCGAGTGACTCCTGACACTCCACAACCTGTTCCTTATCAATTGGTGATTCTTTATCACCTCCTTTATCATTTCCCTTGCTCTCACATTTATCACTGCTATCACAATTGCTATCGAGCTCCTCATCAATTTTTGTTTTACCAATTCTACTGCTATCATCACTCGGTGATTCAGATTTGGGTGATGCATCAATTATTTCCTCCGACCACTTCTCCACAACTCCAAGTACTTTACTATCAATCAGCATTGTTTTATTAGGTATTGGCAGTGTATGCAAAGTCTTGACAAGCTCCAGCCTGAACAACTGGGCCTCTTCACCATTTATTCCAGCGACATCCATCATATAACTCCACATAAGTCTCAATCCATGATAATCAAGAAATAATCTCCTGCACGCCTCAACACCAGACTGAAGAACCTTGAGTAATCGACTCCTGTCCTCCATTTCCCTCGATCTCACCATCAATCTGCTGAGTGTCAAAGTATGAGTTCGATTCTTCAATCCACAGCTGCACAATTTATCAATCTCCTCCTCAAGATCCTCATCCTCCATGTACGATTTCTTCACTTCTCTCTTCTTCTTCTTATCCTCCCGCTCACGTTTCTCCTTCTTCTCAGTCTTCTCCTGCTCCTCATCAGGTGTATCACCAATCCATCCCCGACAAGTTGGCGCCTCACAGTAGCACTTCTGCGCCTCCTTTCCATACCTTTGAAAATGATAATCAAATGTGATCTCCTCACCAGCAGCCACAAATCTCCGATTAAAAAAACCTATTCTCAATTCACCATTAACTGTCCACTTCTGGGTCTCAGCATTGGGCTCACAGCTGTGATTTATAAATCTCGATATATTACCCTTTATCGTTGCATCGATAATCTGATCAGACTTGAGTGCCATGAAGTAATAATGTTTATTCTTGTCTTTGGAATACTCCTTGGCTCGTCTCCTGAAGTCCTTTGGATCAAGCACCTCACCAACGTACTCCATAATAAATTCACCAGGCACCAGATCCTGTACAGCTCGAAGTCCAAAACCTTTCTTCTCAGTTCTAAATACCTCGCACTTTGCATACTCACAGTTCTGAAATCGTTTGTTGGTACATCTGTCATTGATATTGCATCGTGATCCACACTCAATCATCAATAAACGATTGAGACAATCCTCACCGCATCCCATCTCACCTCTCTCCAATTCCTCCTCAGTGAGAAAACAATCACAAGTCATTCTTTTGGTTTCTTTATTTGTGTAACGCTCTGTGAGGTAGAGATTCTCTTTTATTATCTCAAATTGACTGAGACGCTCCTCCATCTCTCTGTCTGTCTCTTTAGGCACTGGAGATGATGAAATCATCTCCTTCAGGTTTTCACATTCATTGACAATTGATGAAGTGATTACTGAGTTCTCAGGAACTGGAACAAGTGTTTCAGGATTTGATGATGATGTCGATGAGTTGAGAATTGATTGAGAGTTGAATCCCAATCTCGATGTATTACCACCCATTTCTAATTCACTAGATCTTCTCCATCTCGATTTAACTTTAACTGGTTTTGTTGAGTCTGAGTCGTACCCTGGTACCAGTACATTAGGTGCATTCAAATCGGATGGAATTGATTTATTACTGTTCTCTTTGTCCGATTGTGTTTCAGATTGTGAATCTGGTGTGTCTCGGGCTGGTGGTGTTTGAATTTTATCTCGCTCCAGCTGAAGTGCTTTGGTGACATCTGCAATGGGTTTTGTGACTAGTCCCCTACCTTTTGGTCGTTGTTTCATAAGTCCCTGTGAGCGTATTCTACTGCTACGACGAACACCAGAGCTATTGGAGCCCGATTCCGATCCAGTTGTATCTGTACTGCCACTTCTCGATCTAAATTGTTTTTTATCATGATCTTCAATCATGGATTTATCCTCCTGGGGCTTTGAGGTGACAGTATCGTTGCTGTTTTCACTGCTCGATGAAAATTTTTGATCCTCAAAGGCTTTTAATTCAGGTTCACTCTCTCGTGAGAGCTCCTCTGTGCTCTGGGGTGTCTCTGGGATATCCGTCATCTCCGTGGCTTTGGCACTCTCTGAGCTCGACGGCTGATTACTGTTGTCAGAGTCCTCGGTTGGTACTGCCATCAGGGATTCGATCAGGAGACGATTTTCTGGCAATCGATCGTGAATTTCATCGGTCTGGGGAGACTTCGAGGGCTCTGAGGAGGTGATACTTGGATTTGTCGATGTTGAATCGAGATTCGAGCTGCTGGAGTCCTCAAGGGCCTCCATTGGACGATAAATTTCCTCTTTTGGAGGTATCGATTGGGAATCATCATTTGCAAAGTCTGAATTTTCCATTCTTTTCGATTTCGTCTTTGCAGCTCTTGGCTTTCTCCTTCTGTCAATTTTTTGGGGCTCTGGAGGAACAACTGGTTGAATTTCTGGAAAAACATCTGGAGGATGTTGAGGGGATAAACCATTGGAGGCAGGATTGTCACCAGGACTAGGCTCTTGAGACACTTCAGGTGATTCCTCCATCACGACTTTATCCACTATCATTTCCTCCACCTTTTCATCCTTCACCAGATCATCTTTCTCAGGGTCAGGCACACCAGAGGGCTGAGACTCCTCACTGATTTCGTTAATCACTTTACTCTCAACGATATTGTCACAATTATTACTCGTTACAGGATCATCAACACTCAAACACTCAACTCCCTGCTCTATAACCTGATATTCACGTGAATCCTGATAACTATCATCCCCAGGTACTTCATCAGGTGTCTCCATCACCACTGATTCAGTGACATCATCATTATGAATAACATAAACCACATCTTCACTCACAAAATTTGGCTCATCAACCAGAAGTACCTGTTCAAGAACAACATTTGAATCCTGCTCAACGTAATCAGATCCCTCAACTTCCTCAGTCTCCACCTCCATCTCCTCACAAATTATTGTCTCCTCGATGATATCCTCCCTCGTCCATGTCTCCAATTCCGAGACATCCTGAGAATTATCCAGCATCATTTCAAGGGGCTCTGACTCCTCGATCTCGAGATCATTGGAGTGATTTTTATCAGGAACTGAATAATCTTTGGGTGGTGGTGTTTCATTATCCCCAGGTGGTAATACCTCACTAATGTCTCCACAATTTTTATCATCATTATCACTGATTTTCACAATATCCTCACTCATTTTTTGTGTCTCCTCTTGACTGATATCATCATCATCAACACTGTTAACTTCTGATTGACTGAGACTCGTTGATTTTTTACCACCAATTTTTCCCTGTTGACTGGCATTTTTCACCTCTTTCGGAGGTCTACCCCTCTTACGTTTGATGACAACTTCAGGTGGTTTTTGGGTCTCCTCATGTGTTCTATCAACATCACCAAGTATCACATCACCATTAATTTTTTTACCATCAATTGACTGTTTCCTAGCTATCTGACGACTCGATTTACGAACAGCCACTGGATTAATTGGCTTAACAGTCCCATTACCATCGCTCTTCTTTCTCCTCGCCATTTTCACGCACCCCAAGATACCTTAAACAACAAATTAAAACAATAATTCATTGACCCTGATGGAATTTTAGGTTGGAGTTCTAGGTGTGGTGATACACATCACACGATTTATCCTAAAAACAAGAAATTGAGATTTACCATTTTGAAATCATCATCGCTGCTGCACTCTCTATTATATCCTCAGGAGATTATTTATTTAATTAAATATTATCCTATTTATTCTGATAATATAAACTTACCTTGGAGTTGGCTATCGTCGAGAGGTCCATCAAGGTGAAATTCTCCTGGGATTCGATGTTGGACTCGAGTCGAGTCTCTGTGATAAATAAAAATTTTGTTATAACTGATTTATGGAGATTGAACTATTGTTTTTTTTTTCTTTCTTTCTTTTTCACGGAGTTATCAACGTCCAGGGGCTGATATCCTTGTTGAGACTCGTGTCTGCGAGTGTTTTGGAGTTGGGGGGATAGACTCTCGGTATCGGGGTGAGGAACTTAGCGGCGAATTTTACTATCGGGAATGGGGTAGTGAGATCCGAGGAGCGACAGTCGAACGGAACGAGACAGATGCCGAGATCAGCCATTAAAATTTAACACATTCAGATTGTAAAGTGCAACTTATTTTCATGTCCTTTACTATTTTACGTCTGTGGCATATCGAAGAACTGGGCTCGCAGTGACTTTATCGATCATCGGGTCTCGATAATGAAGAAATTCCTCAAGAATTGTCTCAATTATCATCGATTAATCCCTTCGAACAATCGATTTTTCAATATAAATATCAGGCATCAATTATTTTCTCAAATCGAAAAAAAAAAAAAATCTCTCGATATTTTTCAATTTTTTTTGCTGCAGAAATCGATTAAAAATAAAATTTCATATAAATATTAATTCATTTCGATATAAAAAAAAATATCGATACGCAAAAATTTTTGAAGAGTCGTTCGATAAAATGAGATGAAAAATAGCACAGGAAAATATTGAAATTCCCACGTAAAATCGAGTGAAAAGTATCGACTCGATAAAATATATTCGATATTCGAGAGTATCGATACTACAGAAGTCGACACCAGGAGGCCTTTGTAATTCCCTGGCATATCCATCCCTCTCACTCCACCTGAATCTTTTTCCCCTAGAGACTCCAATCCTCTGGGCAAATGGTCTGTGTCTTGTGGGTGATGTCATCTCTGTCAAAACTCGAGTGAAAAAAAAAAAAAAAATTACAGGCCACGGACAATTCTCGAAATATATACAACACATTGGCCCATTTGGTGTTAAAGTGATTTGTTAACTGTTATGCACGTCATTGGGTCAATCGACATTGGAATAACTGATGATGAATTGATTTTGTGAGGCACAAGTCCCAGAACAAGGGCTTTCTTCATTCAATTATTGACGAGCGTTGGTCTCCAGTGATAATTGACCAGCTCAAATAACCAGTATAAAATTCCACACGTACTGGATATGCCGTAGATCTAGTGAGTGTTTTTTAAATTAATGCCATTGACCACCCAACCAGTGGGATTTTATTTATTTTTAGAGGTAAACCAATTTAGATTGGACACAGATTTTGGTGAATATTTGGGAGCATCATCCGTACTTACTCGTCAATTTTACCCATTTATTATTCTCAATTATTGCACGATGCATTGATTTGTTATTATTTTGAGTTATTAGTTTTTATATCTAGATGTTTGCCAAGTGCTTCCCAGGAAAATACTCGTCCGACGAGTCAAAGGCAGCGGTGAGGTTCATTGATCCCATCTCTAGAATATTCAGGGCATTAACGTATTTTACCATTTTTATTTATCCTTTTTCCTTTTAATTTTCATTTTGAACTCTTCATTTTGTGATTGCAATGAGAGACACCAGTGATGTGAATGAACGATTCACAACTAGCGGGGTCAGCCTATCTTTCCGCGATGTCTCCGGGATTAATTAATTTATTCATTCAAGACGAAACAATTCGAGAGTTGTGTGTAATGGGAGGAGCCAATTACATTTTTCGAGAATTATGAATCAGTCGCTGTTGAATATCTCGTGATTGATGAGAGATGGAGGAATTTTTGTAAAAAACTTTTTTGTAGACAAAAAAAATAGCTACAAAAAATGTCGATACTATATTTTTCTTATCTCCATCAGATTTCGAGATATCGATGAGGAAATGAAAATGGAGCAGTTGATCTTCTCATTGAAGTACTTCCCTCCGGCAATTCTTATCACGTGCTCCATTTATTTATTTTCATCATTTTATTTTCATTAGTTCATTTCATTCTGTGATATCTTCTTTGTGGAGAATAAATACTGTATCATATCAAATACAGACTGATGGAGAAGCTCAGAGATAATAAAATTTTCATTTCACCATTTCCAAAATTTTCAGAATCACAGGATGGCAGTTCTTACGATGAATGGCAAAAAGTGGTACTCCGTCTCTGGTTTTTCCTGTCTATTACCAGATGACAGACCAATAACAGCAATAAGTGTCGTCGAAGATATCGAGAAATGTCCACCGAGATTCACAGCTGTGAGGACAATTTTTTTTATCGAGCTATCATTCCGCTGTTGTCATTGGATTCTGAAATATTGGATTATTAAAAAATTATTTTTCTTTACAGGTGTCAAAAACCTACGACCAAGACATTGACGCTGATCTCTGGCGAGAGAGTGGTCTATTCATACGACGAAAAGGCAGATACATATGTTACTCAAAAACCGAGGGTGTACCAAACTACGTTGTCCAGGAAATAACGGTTATCAACGAGAGAGAAACACCACCAGATGGCTTCAGCATGATTCCCCAAACGATAGACACAGGTATTATTCAAAATATAAAAAAAACCATTATCCATAAAAAATATCCAACTGTCAAAAATTTTTCCCTGAAATATCTAAAAAAAACAAACAAATTTTGATTAAATACGTATGACAGTCGATGAATTATCAATTCTCTTAATTCTTCTACCCCTAAAAAATATTATCACTTGGCAATTCTGTTTCAGACCAAAAGGCATGGAGAAAGAGACAGGTGTGCTATAAGCTAAGAAATAGGGATGCTTGCTCAACAGCTGTGACGGATATCATTGTCTGCAGTAGAATGAAAAAAGGCCCCACCGGCTTCACCTACGCTGGGTAAATAATTTTTATCAAGTCTTTTATCACCCCATTATTGTGGTTAATTCATTTCCTCTTATTTATCCAAGGGAGATCAATGGAGTCGTCATCTGTTACAAAATTAGCCAAATAGTTAATACAGACACCAGCTCACAATCATACGAAAATATAAAGTGAGTATTAAAAATGATTATTTTATCTTACCGATTTATATAAAGAATTACAAATTCTCTTCAAAAATATTAAATCACTTTTTTTTTTAGAGGATTATCCTTGATGTGTTAATAGATGTAATTGTTTTTTTTTTTAGTGCATTACAGAACGTATCGCCAAATCCATCAAATGGTGTGTCTCGTCGAGTCCCTCCAGAGCGACCACCAAAGCCAAAATTCTCCCCCAAGCCCCAGAATGGAATCTATCCACAGGTGCCAGCAACAATAATAAATGAGGTTGACGATTCATTGGATCGTGATTATGAGGTACTGAGTCCAAATGCAAGAATCAAACCGACTAGACCAGCACCTCAGCCTCCAGTGTCTTCCCAAATCAGCTCAATGCCCATGTATGGCACATTACCAGGATCATCTGATCTCGATGGTGTACCCTTTGTCCTCAATCCTCTTTTGAGCCTTGAGAGTGACACCGGAATCGTGAGTATTTATTTTCCATTGAAAATTCAAAAAAAAATCCACAAGTCGTTTCACCCACGCATTAAATTCTCAATATCTCTCAATCCATCAGAAATATCAAAAATTCCATAAAAATCTTTTTCACGGCTCTCCTTTCGCCCTCCAAAAAAGCTTCTTATCAAAATTTCACTATCTCTCTCAAATTCCGAGATATCCCTCAAAAACTCACCAATCATCTCAATCCACTCGTTACTCTTTCCATTTTTCATTTTACAATTGAAGTCATAGATTCTTATCCCATACACTACAAGTGATTAATTGTTCACAGAAAATTCCAGTTATTAAAGTGCGCACTCGTCGAGAATTAGATAAAGAGGTGAGTAATTATCGTAGTTAACTGCTGAAACAATGGATTCAGATAATTGTTCACTGATTATTTTGTTCAAATCGGATTAATAATTTTTACGACTAATTTTTTTTTCTTTCAGTATTATTACGACTTCCGCGCAGAACGAGAAACCTAAGGAAGTCGTCAGTTAATAGTCGTGCCAAACGAATTGTACGAAGTACCATACTACTTATAATCATCAGTTATAATCCCAATGTTTTGTATCCATAAGAGTATAGCGTTTTAACCGATACGAGTGTACTAGAGTGCCTGATTGAATGATTCATATTAATCATGTGAAAATATTGTGACACCTCGCAAGCCCACCAGGTGAACGAAAGAAAAAAAAATATATATATATATAAATATCATTTTAAAAATTCAGTAATCAAGTCGTAAAACAGAATGATTCGTTCTATCCACCTGAAAATAATAGATAATTAAATTTTTATCAGGACCTTTTATGTAGATTAAAATCACAGCTGAAAAAACAATTTCCCCAAAAAATTCATTCTCTTTTAAAAATTCGGTGATATCCTCGTAAATTCATCTATTATTCAAATCGAATAATTCTGTTTTGCCCCTGCACTGCTGACCTAGTGTTTAAGTGAAGTAGGAGACCGATTGTTTTCATTAAAAAATCATCTGCTCCACTTACACCTCATATCTTCCACAAACAACACTTTTTACATCGTCTAGGCGTCGGTGACGTTTTACCCAGCCTAATCAATACAAGTATTGTATTTTTATATAGTTTGGTTGTATTTTTTTCTATAGTAGTTACTAAGTGTTTAAAATGTGACTATTACACGTACTAGTTACTTATAAATTAAGACGAAAAAAAAAAAATAAATAAATAAATAAGAAAAAAAAAATTCATTATTATTGCACAGGTAATTTCATTCGAACAATGGAATAAACATCACGTGAATAAATTTTTTTTTTCAATAAATCTCTTATTCATTACAATTTCCTACCCCCTCCTCGCCTGAAACATTAAATTTACAATAAAAAAAGAAACTACAATATTTATTTAATTACAATACTTCCACAATCATTAAACGTTCATTATTTTTATAATACTATGCGGTAGGTTCAAACACTGAGAATTGCGAAAAAACCGCTAACGCTTCTGAAAAGTTTTTTTTTTTAAACGTGAAGACTTGAATATTCAAGACCTTTTTAATTTTTCCTCCCACAGTCCAATCCCCATTCCCCGGGTTTTCCTGGGGCTCACCGGAGGACTTCCAAAAACCGAGGCAACCAGTCATCATACAAAAGGTCCAGTCCAGTGTCTCACCTGCGTCTGATTTCCACTAGCTCCAATTTTATCAATACCACCAGTGGCCTTGATCTTGCTCTTGTATTTAACATCCTTGGGTTTCAACATGCTCTTGTGATTGCTCAAAAGCCTCGACGGTGTGAGAATGGATTTATTGCTGAGTCCAGTTGCCTCGAGGAAGTGATCGTAAACCCCATTGGCGTGTCCACTCTCTCCATTATTATTATCCTTGACACTCTCCTGTCGACTGAAGACTCCACTGCCGAGCCTCTCAGACCCATCGCCCTCAGGCCTATCAGGATCATCCGAAAGATCACACTCATCGAGATTGAACTCCTCAAAATTCTGCCTGATGTCCATCTCCTCCAGCTCCATGGATTTCCCTTTGGACAACTCCTTGCACCTGTCGCTCTCCCCAATCTTGAATTCCTCAAAATGTTTCACAATATTCGTCACCCTGGGACAATCACTCTCCTCCTCATTACCCTTTACCTTGGCATTACCATTATCAATATACCCTCGTCGAGGGCTGTCCTTGAAATTCAAACTCCTAGCCGTTGGAATTGGCGGTTTAGACGGTGTCCCAGAGATACCAAAAATCCTCTTGACGTACGCCGGTGTCTCACTCACCTGCACCTTCCTCCTAGTCTCATCAATGAGAAACGAAGGACTCGGAATCTTCTTGAGGACAAGAGTATTATTCTTGAACTGCGGCTTCGGTGGAAGAGCTGGTGGAATTTTCGAATGAGGAGAAATAACCTCAGGAAGTGACTCGATATCCTCGTAATCCAAATTTTTAGCAATCGTCAAACCCTTCGAAGACATCGACAAACACGTCTTCTCCTCGATCCTCTCAAGTCGAAGAATAGGTGAGGGTGAACACCTAGATTTTAATGCTGGCTCTGGAGATACTGGAGAATTCTTAATCATCTCAAGATTCGGTTCAATAACAACAATGGGAATAGCTCTCGTAGACGAGTTGTCATCAATCTCGTCCTCTGGATTCGATTCAGTTTCACTACTACGAGTTATCCCCTGACTCTTCATCGTCACTCTCATACCAAACTCATCCTCAGATGCATCCAGCTCTCTATCAGGCATCACCTCCTCGGAATTTCTTCGCTCCATTTCCGAACCAACGGACTCAATATCCGATAAACGAGCCGGTTGAAAGCTCACAATTCTCCCACGATGTTTAAATTTACGCGATACCGATCTAATCGTCTCCTCATCCTCCATATCCCTCAGAAGAATCTGATTGACACACTCAAGAACTGAATTGTGATTGCTATTGGGTCGATACGAATTGTGACGAATAATATCATCTGCAATTCGATCCTCATCAGGATCACTGTACCAATTACCACTCGTCTCCTCACCACTCTTCTCCATTTTCAACAATCCATTATTATTATTATTCTGATTATCATCAATCAATCGTGTCTCACACTCGCGATTTCTCTTATTATTTTCACAGCAGGAATTAACGTAGAGTGGTTCACCCTCTTCCTCATCACCCGACACAAAATTGCAATCCATTCCATCATCCTTGCTCTCACTCCTCATTATCTTCACTTGATTATCAATAATCATCAGAGGCTCCTTCCTCAAAACTCCAATTCTCCTTCTCCCAGTGTTATCCTCCAGATTCTCCAAATTCTCAAGATTCTCCAGAACAGTTCTACCCTCGCTATCGCTATCAGAGTTCTTTCTAATAGTTCTCGATTTATTGAGAGTTGAACCTGGTGATAAATCACTGCTCTCACCCTCACAAAATCCCTCAGTGCTGATTAATGATGGACTACCATCAGTTGTTGTGACAATTGAACCATCAGTATTTTCACTGCTCGTTAAACTCTCTTTAGAAACATCACTCCCAGCAAAGCTGTCAGTTTTTCTAACACAATTTCTCATATCGTCATTACTGAATTTCGTAATTATTTCTCTCTTCAAGATCTGAATATCGCTCCCAAGACCATTATCAAATTGTATAATATCGGTTGTGGGATCTCCTGGTGTTTCCATAGTCTCTGGTGTTGATGGGCTCTTGCACAATACCTGTTCTCTTTTTGACTTTATGTAATTCTTCGTGTATCGCCTCAATTTAGCTATTTCAATCTGCTGATTCTTTATGACATTGTCCTTCTCACATAATTGCTGTCTTATTGATTTTTGTTCCTGTCTGAGTCGTGACTCAAGCACCAAGAGGGCACGTAGAATTTTAGAGAGCTGCTGATCCCGTAAGTTTCGCTCAGACTCGTGGCACACCGTTAGAGAATCTAGCTCTTGTACCAATTCACGACACCTCTTTGTTGCTGTTTTTAAAGCATCACGGGTCCTCGTCAACTCCAACTTCAAACTCCGTACTTCGATCTCCATCTGTTAATTAATCAATTCCACAATTAACTCTCACCATTTTTATCCCCACTATAATAACTTATTCAAACTAAAAAGTGAAAGGAAAGAGCAACAAGTCGACTCATCATCATCTCCAGGAATATCTCACCAACTTGAGAAAATAGAGTAATTATCGTGAAGACCTTTTTTGTAGAGTGGAACAAGAGCTCCAGAAAAGGTTATCACTAAAATTTCAATAAACCTCTAACATTTCAAGATATTGTTGATAATTCAATTGTTGAATGAATTGACTTGTCCAGCTTTTCCATTCCAGTGGATTATTATATTTATTTAAAAAATTGAAATGGAGGGTACAATTTTTCTTTTTTCAACCATATTTAGTTGTGGGTGTTGAATTTCATGAGTGCCCCCTCGTTCATTCGTCCAATGGGGAGGGGATTGAAGAAAAAAAAAACAAAAAAAAAACAAGTGATTCACACGAACCCGTTTTGGACCTGTACCCACTGCCAGTCAAAAACTCGTCCCCAAGACGCCTAAAGGTGTATTCACACAGTGGATATATTTGCCGTAGGAAATTCATACCATGGAGAAATAATTGTTCTTGGTATTGGGATATTACCGAGGGCCCGTTGGCTTTCCCATTCATTTTGGGACTGAATTTATGACGGGACTAGACCCTTCGCCCACCCAGGAAGAATTTTTGCCGGAGCGCAAGGTGAATTTTTAACATTCATCGATCACCAAAAAATTCTATTAACAATTCAAATTTTGATAATCAATTTAAAAAACTGCATTTTTAGAAAAATTTCAACTGGAATAATGGAATTTTTACGCGATTTCCCGCATTTCTTTGTGAATTATTGTAATTATTGTAATTATTGTAATTGTTGTAATTGTTGTAATTGTGGCAATTAGATAAATTACATTTGCCATTTGTTACTAGACTCATGGGATTTTAATAAAAATTCCTTTAGAACCGAAACACCAGACGATTACGAAAGTTTTGGGATCAATTTTTCACTGGCAATTTCTCGAGTTCAAACGGATAATCGAATAAATAATAAAAAATTGAATAAAAATTCCGGCATCTTGACATTCCTCGATCACACCTGAACCAAATCCCCAACTTTCCAACGGTAATTTCCATTTTCTCCATTCACGAAGCCGTTCGACAAATGGGGAAAAACCGGTCGTGCGTGACAATAATTCAGTTACCGCGTGGGAGTTAATTCGAGAAAATATCGATAAGTATCGAATCACAAATCGATGAAATTCCGAAAAATTGTGGGAGAAAAAAAGAAAAAAAAAAAGAAAAAAAACTAGCGCGACAAAGAGCCACCGATTTCGCTACAACTCCAACAATTTATTTCCGCGACCAAACCGCGAAATTGCGCAAAACTAAAAAGAAAGCAAAACAACAATAAAAAAAAAATGAATATAAATAAACAATTGGAATGACCACTCTCCCCCATCACCCAACAATACAATCGCAAGCCTCAAAATTTCTCTAGATTAATTCAAATAACCTCGTGTCTATTCACCGCAATGACATATCATTACACCAATTGTTATCCACAATTAACCTAATTACACGATTTATCAAATCCACCGATTCACTATTAATTTACCTTCTCCCGCTGCACCGAGGAATTTTATTTCACTCCAACCCCACCCCCGTACGTTATTACACAATTAATCCACACCACTTCAACAATAATATCAATTATTATAAATAATCCAATGAGAGATATAACAAAGGAATATTATTCTCATGGGTTAAATTATTGTGCGATGATCGCGATGGCGGGCGCATTTGTACTGGTCAAGTCTCAAGAACTCGAGAGGTGGAACATCAGGTGGGGGTGGTGGGGAACGAGAACCGCGGGGGTGACGCGGGGAATGAGGGGGAGGGATGTTGTAGGAGGGGGCAAAAGGGGGGGTGGAGAACGTATAGAAAGGGCAGAGAGAGAAAGAGAGTGAGAGAGAGAGAGAGAGGCAATTCCTCTTTCACCCAGGTAACCGTATTGTCCAGGTATTTTTCGTTGAGTCTCGGTAGTGACCACCATGACTCCGTTTTAACTAAAAAAAATTATGGAGATTCACATGAGTGGAGGAGGGGGAGGAAGGGAATATCTAGCTCCCAGGATCAGCTGATTCTGGCAGGTGAGTTTTGTTTTCATAGGCTGACATGCGTATGTTTTTATTTTAAATCGCCCCAAGGAAATTAAAGTGAAGAAAATTTTTAATTGCACCGCAAAAAAATTAAATGAAAAAAAAAAAAAAAAATTCTTCTGGAATATTCATTGGACAATTAATCGATTAATTGATCTTTTTATGATTTAGTCAATTGAATAATTTGAAATTGTTATTATTATTTAATTGTTATATTGATTAATTGATTTGGCTTGAATTGTTTATTGATAATTAATTGGATGAATTAAATCTTTGAATTGAATTTTGATTAATTTTTTCTTTTCATGAGAAAAAGGAAAATTAATTTTCCGTGACTATGAAAATATGATATTAGCGGAAAATTGTTGGAAATTCAATGGAATGCAACCGGAAATGATCGATAAAATCAATGAGTCGAGGTGCACTTTTTATTGAAAATTTTTAAACCGAGAAATCGCGCCCTTGACATTCTCAAACATCAAAAGGTTCCGGAGATTAATCAACGGTTTAAAAAAAATAAATAAAAATGTCGAGGCTAATTAATTCGTCGATGAAACATCTGTCCCAGAGTCAATAGGAATTATTAATCATTAGCTCTTAAGAATTTTCCGGGGCTGAATAGTGGAAATTCCTATCAGAAATTATCATTAAAAAATTGAATATCCCATTCCTCTCATATTTAAATTCCAAAAAATTTTCTATATCCTGAAATACTGAAATTTTAAATATTCAATGGCTTTACAGTTGAAACCTACAAGGCATGACCTTGATGACACTCCACACTGTAATCATCCCACAAATTATGAATTATGTCAGGTGTGTAGAAATTCCTGAGATATCTGATAGAAATAACAAACCGTGATACAATATTTTTTCAGTACTAAATAAAAATCGTCATAAAAATTCAAAAATTTAATCAATCACTGATTTTTCCTCAATTTTCCCCACCCCAATCCTTTCAATTCCCTAATTCACTCTATTATTTCCAAAAAAAAGGACCACCAATTTTTTTCGATAATTGAAAAATAAAAATAATTTTCACATTTTTACAATTTTTACAATTTCCCATTCAATTTATGCGTTGAGTGTCTAACTGTTGATTCATGACGTGTATTATCATTGTTTATTTGCAATCGTGATGAGGGGAAGAATAAAAAAAAAAAAGGATAAACGTTATCGGCGTGACTGGAGGTAAGGATGTACCTCAGGGTATTGTCGAGCAGAAAAAAGAGAGAGAGAGAGATAGAGAGAGAGAAAAAAAAGATACAAGACACGCGGGGATTGTCTCTGGACGAGATGAAACTCAAAGGCTATTTTATTTTTTAAAAATTCCACAAAAATCCATCAACAACGAGTGACCTATTGCCACTACTCCGTGTAAACTATTTTTTTATTTTTTCATTTATTCGCTAATGAATTGGGAAAAAGTTGCTAGTGTTTTTTCCCCCCCTCCGATTTATCACATGAATAAAAAAAATTATTCGATTAAAAAAATCTTAAATTCCTACCGCTGTATAATCAACAGAAAGTTTTGAATCAATTTTTCGCCTGCACGACATTTTCCACTATATATCATCCACTTATCGCGAATTAATTCAATTTCAATTGAATTTCAAATTCCATTTATTACATCCACAATACCGATTTCATTACGTAATTTTTTCGAATTTAAATCACTGACACTCGAAATTCAAATAAATCCCAAAAAAAATTTCTTTAATAATTCATAGTGAATTATTTACAAATGACAGACTGTAAAAATTTTCAAAAAATTTTCAAATTTCCACAGTAATTTCCAATAATTTATTATTCACATCAGGATTATCCCTGCATGATGAAAAATCGTACAATATTTTCAACAGCGAAGAGTTAGCAAATTCAAAAGCCACTGCCTATCACCGACTGTTTCCAGACAGATAATAATCACCCGCGATAATAAAAATGCTGTCATTTTGCTCCAAGTGCGATAAAAGAAAAAAAAAATCTCGAGGTACTTGAAAGGAAAAAAAAATATATATATTATTATTATTTGTGCTGAAAGTTAACGTCAACGCGACGAGTGTCTCCTAACGACTGAAGGCTTTCCCAAGAAGCCGCACAAATTTCTATCCGCAATTGTTGGGGCAACCAACAAACCAGTTGGGGCATTCTAACTTCCGGTTTTAACAACACAAAATACATATATATAACCGCACATCCCACTCAAAATGACGTCATGAGTGAGCAACTGTTAAAGTGCGGTGAAAAATTTATTGTTTAATCAACCGGATGTTTAATATTTTCACTGTTAATTTATCCGAAAAAAATTATTACCCCCTCCCAACCCAGATGAAAGAGCACAAAGCCAAGAATAATTACAATTTTTGTAACAAATTTTATGATAAATAATGTAATTTGCAAATTTTCAAATAAAAATTTTTTTTCAACTGATCTTGTAATGGGAATATCTCCGAATTGAGGGGTGATAAAAAAATTTTTGTAATTACATTTTTTGTAGGTTTTAATGAGTTCTGTAAAAGAGGTATCAATGAAAATTTTGTGAATTCAGTTGGTTTGGGAGGTATACGCAAAAAACCAAGAGCAGAGATGAATGGAATTTATCGTCTCGTCACTTTGTTACAAAACAGTGTAAATAAATTTTTCTCCGTATATTTGTTATAATGCCACGTGATAATTTTAAATAAAAAATGATACCAGAGGTAGTGAAGACCTCGTGGTATTTATCACTTGAAAATACCTCTCTGCAGATGATTTTATTTTAAACGCGACACATGGCACCGGAGCCTCCGATCATCTGCTAAGCCACCGGGAGAAAAAAAAAAAAAAAAGAAAACTAATCGATAACAAAT